AACACTGCGTGTGCTGTAAGAGGGGCAGGGCCAATCACTAAGCAACACTGCGTGTGTGCTGTAAGAGGGACAGGGCCAATCACTGAGCAACACTGCGTGTGTGCTGTAAGAGGGACAGGGCCAATCACTGAGCAACACTGTGTGTGTGCTGTAGGGGGGCATTTGATTCCAGTAATCAAGTTTACATGAAAAAATGAACTGATATCAAGACAAAGTCTACGAAACACTACTAAAAGTTCCAAAATCTGTACCTTCCCATTGAAATGACATATCTAGGTTCTGGCATCTGGTCATACACCTAGACCAAAAAGACACAGAAAAGTTGTCAGAACAAACACATTATAACCAGAATCAGGTTAATGAAAAGTGAATGATGAGGTTGATACTCAAACTGATAAAATATTGATGGCAAGTTGTCATGAAATCATTGTGATCTACATCAATTCTATTCTGGGATACCCCCTGTGCAAAAGTTAGGGGAATGGATGGATAGATAGTAAAGCCTACTGATGGGAAATTTAAAGGTGCAAACACTGGCAACCTAAAGCCTGTCCCAGGACACAGAGCCCAAAGAGGAGCCAGTCCATCACAGGGCACACACACAACACACAGCAATTTAGGGGAAGCCTATCATTTTGGACTGCCAGAGAACTAGAGGGAACCCAAACAAATATGGGGAGAACATGCAATCTCCACACACACACAGCCGTGGCATGGAGCAAATCCCTGAGCTAAAGCTGAGGTGCCCACAGAGACACCAGGCTGCCATAAAAAAAGCAATTCCCTGCAGCCATATCAACACAAAATGACAAAAACGCCCCTCGGGAACACAAAGAAATAACAAAAAGTGGAGGAAACCATCAGATTCCAGGCAGGTCTAAAGGTGAAAGTCATATGAAAAACCGGGCGGGGGGGGTCACCTTGCGGAGTGCAGGGGCCATCTTATTTGTCAGGGTGCCAGCGACTATCATGACGTCGGCCTGCCTGGGGCTGGCTCTGAACACCACTCCGAAGCGGTCCATGTCGTAGCGAGGGGCTGCCATGTGCATCATCTCCACAGCGCAGCAGGCGAGGCCAAATGTCATGGGCCACAAGGAGCTCTGGGGGACACACACACACACACACACACACAGCGCCTCAGACATGTTAGCCAGGGACCGGCCAGGGAGACGTGCAGGCTGCCAGAGGCGAAGCCCTGAGTGTGGAGCAGAGGCCTCACCCTGCGCGCCCAGTTCACCAGATCATCCAGTTTGGCAATGACATATTCCCCTTTGCTGCTCGGCGCAGCTGCAGACTTGGGGGCTACTGCAGTGCTTTTCTCTCTCACCGGAATCAGGCTTAAGGTAACAAATTTAAACAAACCCTTAGGCAACACCTCAAGGACGGGACAGCAGCAGCTGCATGGTGACTGAGAGAATTTCCTACCTGTTTGCAGGCTCAGTGTTTGTTCTCTGGTGAAAGTACTTCTTATGGATAACAGCAGCAATACTGGGCCTGTGAAGTCATAGCAGGTCAAATTATGCAACTAAAATCTACAAAATAATTTTTAAACGTACGCACACCGAGTTAATCACCGTTTAATTTATTCATAATAAGTTTTAGGTGGGATTTAAATAAAAAAAAAAAAAATGCTATGCTGAAAGTTTAGTGATTCCTTTTATTATCACTAAATAATCTATCCCTTCATATCAGCTTTCTGTGTTTGAGATAAAACAGAGAAACCTAAATGAAAGTTACAACTATACAAATTGTTACAATAAAAAGTCATCTTTACCTCAGAGAAAATGACCCAAACCTGCGCAGGCAGGGAACTGAAAGCAGAATTAAATAATCAGAATGCAGACAAAGCTGATACTGTTTAACTCATACATGCATACTGAGGGCCACTCAGTACAGATTAAGGCTGTGTATCCGTTATTATTATTTGTATAAAACTTTCTTCCTGAACATATGGAGAGTAGCATGAGATTCATACGGTTCTTGATGACTTTGGTGGGCTATATATCTTCTATGTACACATCTACTGTATTCAAATTTAATGAAAATATTTGAAGGGATTTTTAAACGTTGTGTTTTTATACAATATTCAGCAATATGTGAAAATGAAATATCGTCTACATTGAAGTGCCGACAATAATATCTAGTTTTCTGTGACGCTCGCTTAAAAATCCTAGATCAAAAGATCGATAAATGTGAAGCACAAACTATATGCAAACCAACACTTATCACTGACAAATGTACTTTAATGTGTAACATACAGACAGAGTTGGCAGTAATGAATTTTCTTATTACAGGCCTCAAATCACAACAAAATTTCATCATTTCAGAACTGGTCTGTATCAGCATATAACTGTCTTGTTTTGCCCCTGGATACTGACTGTGTGCTACAGATTTGTATGCTTTGTTATTTGAATGCCATATTTGATATAAAAAATGCATATGTACATATGTATGCAAGTAAACTTACAACACAACAATTTATCATCAATAAAACATACAAAACAGGGTTTTATACATGAACAATATGCAGATACAATATTAGGGTATGCTTCCATTTACTAATGACCAATAAAATGTATATCTTTTAGCATAAAGCATTATATTTCTATCATATATATATATATATATATCCTATTTTAGTATCCTTATTAAAATATTTTTACAGATTCATAGATATACGGAACCATCAGCTCACTATATACAGTTAAATACGGACGCTGGCTACGGCTAGGATAATCCTTCATGGCTATTTCATTGTGCTATGGTATGTAAGCACTTTTGCTAACCGACAAGTACCAATTAACGAACAATCGGCAAATACTGACACAACAGACAAGGAATATATAACCAGTTAGTATCAAACTGAATAGCACAACTCAGTCTCTTACTAATACCCCGTTTTCGTAAATAGGTAGATGCGGATTGCAAGACTACAGGCAAACAGGCAAGGTCACATGAATGAGTATTCAGTAAATGTGTTGTGGAACGAATTTATACCTTCAAGATGACATTTCAGCACGACTAAGGTCACTTATGTAAGCAATGTCAAAGACATCGGGTGGTTTATATTAAGTGTGAAAGGTTTAAAACAATCGTTTGTACCTATAGGTCAAGCTTTTCCATTCGTCTAAGCTGATATTAGTTTGCGAACTTCCGATTAAATAGATTTTTCGTTGTTCAACATGACAGAGCAATGGTAAGGTTCAATAACACAGATAAGTTAACAATAATATCTGTACTCACCGACAACGTTCGCCATACTTGAAAAGGCCTGCTCCACAGTGCGAGGGCCGAGCGTCGTATTTAGGGTGAAATGGTGTTTCCGGTAGTTACCCAAGAAAATATTTCAAAATAAAAGTACGAATTTCACCCACGTTGCTGCCAAGTAAAAGGACTATTATTTTTTATTTATTAGAGGTCAAAGCGACTAGCGAGCAAACCCTGTTGCGTTATCAAGATATTTCTTATTAAATTATTAGATTATTTATATTTGATAACACAATACATCTACATGAGAGCAAGGAAATTGTAACGAAGTAACTCGAAACAGAAGATTCAAGGACACTTTTAGGCTACCTCGATGAAAGCTTATCAGAGTGACAACACTGACACCGTATTAACCATGTTGTACCACCAATGTACTCCAATGCACATGTAAATGCTAAGTATTCACTTACTGTGTTGCAGGCTTTTTGTCATTTACTATCTTTCATTTCTTTTGTACTGTTTTGCAAGAAGCACACGTACAAGGTGCAAGCCTACACGTGACAGCAAATATATGTGAAATACAAATATTTTTCCTACATGACAAAAATATTAATTTCTTAATTCAGTTAGTTTCCATCCATTTCAATAGCATTAGCCACGACATTTTTAGTGGAATCCGCTTCCTACTTTCTCTAGACAAACGCTGCTTGCATGTCTACAGCTTTTGGTTTCCCGTGATAACAACTTCTGTTATGTTGTAATCTCAAGTAAATAACTCGTCATCTCGAAAAAAACACTTTGGCTATGTTGGGATGACGAGAAAAATTAGTCGTTATCTCAACATAACAAGACAGGAAAATATAACGATAACATTTATATATATGGGTGCTTCATAGACATTTTTCCCGAACACTTAATTACTATTAGAATATGTCATTGGATGGACTAGCTATGTCCTCCTTGCAAATACAATTTTTATATAACATTATGTTTATGGCACGTATAAAAATTATAGTTTTTCTAATCACGATTTCAAAGATTAGTTAACTTAAGCCAGTCTATTAGTCATTATATCTGAAAAGTCATTGTCCGCTATATCTTATTTCACCACCTTCATTCACGCTATGCTACTGCGTGAATTTTCGTTTTTTTTTTCCCAACAGGTGGAATTGAATAAAGTTGCCGTGCTAAAAATAGACAGCACGAAGACGTTCAAACTGCCTTGATGTATAATTTGCAATCAATTAAATTCCTATGGTCATAGAGACATAATGACGCTAATTTGTCAGCAAATAACGCCTGGCAAAGCGCAGCAGCGCAGTGAATGCAGGTTTGGGTCTCGCGCTTTCATCTCGCGCCTGTGGGCACGAACGGCAGCCGTTACGGGAAATGCCCGGCTTTTCTCAGTGTGGCCAAACAACAACAGAACCGCATATGTAAAAAATAAAGCAGTAATTCAGTAACCCAATAAGGAAAGTCCGACATGAAATTACTATGGTTTGGGCCAGCTGTGCTCGGTCTATGTATCGCTTGCGCGACCACCAACAGCTGGGCGGTGCATTTAAACGCCCCCCCCGAACACGTCGAGAGGTTTGCAGGAAAACTGGGATTTCACAGTCTAGGGAAGGTAACACAAAACGCGTTTCGTTAAAACATTGATACACATAAAGCACGTATTGTTTTAACTGATCAGATCCACCGGACAGCAGCTGAACCATTTTTTAATTTAGAGTTTTGCAGATAACTCTCATATGAGGGAGAGTTGGGTGTCAAAACAATCATTACAACAGAATAATTTTCTTAATAAGCCGGAAAAGGCTCCTACTGCACTTTATAAATAAATATGATTCGTGATGCTGTTATGTTTTTATATAGGTTTGTGCTGTTTCCATTTAGGTATTTTGGTTCGCGCAGCAGTCCAAGAAGACTGGAATGAGAAGGGATCCAGCATCTCAGCCTAATGATCCTCCTTTGACAAAGCAGTGGAATTTAGTAATTACATCCCTCTCTTAGCTTCATGTAATCCCACTAGAGAGAAGTGTATATAAGGTATTTCTTTTTGTTCTAAGAGAACCTTTGATCCGAACGTAAGGGCTACCTGGGCAGTGCTGGTGTCCATCACAGATGATGGAATGGAGGAGAGCCACCTTGACCTGGAGGAAAACGATGTGAGTTCAAAATAGTGATAAAGGGTTACTTCTGCTACTTTTATTTTAAATTTGCGTGTGGAATCATGGTCTGACCTCTGACCATTTTCATAGGATCCACAGACCAGCTACAACATGAACAGCAACGATCCCAACTCAGAACCTAGATACACACCAATGAAAGTAAACTGGTAACAGTAGTTAAAATATATTTATAAAGTGCAGTGCACATGTAAAATGCTAAAGTCATGCCAGGTTGGATAGCACAGTAGCTCATTGGGCAGGACTGTGGGATTTAGTCCTGTCTCTGCTGTGTGAGTGTGCAGTCTGTAGGCTATAGTCTCCCCATGACTTGCGTAGGGTACTTTAGGTACTAGCAATATAAAAGCACACAGTGAGGCAAACTAAAGTGTGAATATGTGTCCTGTGATGGACTGGCATCCAGGTCATGGTTTCCCCTGCCTTGTGCCCTTCACTGCCTAGGATAGGACTTGCAATGAATTAGCAGTTGGGATGCAGATTTATGGGTGGATGCAGGATACATGCCCTATGAAGATATTAAAGTTATTCACCGGTACTTTATGCTCAGCTTATTTAGGTACACGCTGACATAATCGTATTGTAGAATATGTGCTGGTGGACTATAACAGAGCATTATTTTGGTCCTCTGCCGCACAGGCATGTTGGGGGAGTGACCTCTGTGGCCAGTAACAGAGCGTGTGCAGTGGGTGTGGCATATCAGGCTACAAATGGTGGTAAGCTATGACTGCGAAGAATATTATCATTATACACAGCGGAATCTGTCTTCTCAACACAACAGTCAGGTGCTTGTTTGGAATTTGGAGTTAACACTGTCTGGTTTACTTTGCTGTATATATAAAATACATATAAAAAAATACAAAATGTTGCTTTACAGATGAGATAGCTTTACTACAAAATAAACAGCACAAAAATTAGTGCTCTTTATACATTGAAAAGCATTACCTTAATAGCAGAAGGTGGGCCAATTCCTGAGAGCTCATTGTGGATTATTAAAAATAAATGATAAATCATTGGTGGGATTTTGTTTTTAGTTTCACTTTGTTTTCTGTACTGTTCTTAGGGATCCAGATGCTTGATAGTCACGTGACTGACTTAGCCAAGGCCAAGTCTCCCAGCTTCAACCAGCAGCACACTGATATCTGCAGTGCCGGCTGGGCGCCGGAAGATAACGGAAGAATAGTGAAGGGGCCAAGCACTCTGCCCTACGAGGCTTCAATACGGGGCGTAAGCAGGGTATTATGCATTTCAGGTGCCATACTGTTACTGAGTTTACGTCTGAATGTATAACGGTGGGCTGGCAGGAAAAGCAGATAATGACTTAGTGCACTTTAATTCTTTGTGGTAAAATTTTAGTACTCAGTGAAGAACTAATGAACAAATCCAAATGAGTAACTAAATATCATTTCACAGGGCCGTGGTGATTTGGGTTCCATTTACGTCTGGGGTTGTGGTAACAGTGGCACAAGCCACGGTAACTGCGACCTCGATGGCTACAGCAGCAGCATACAGACGCTGTCTGTCAGCAGCACCACGGAGAGCCGGAAATCGGCCTTCTACATCGAGCTGTGTGCTGCCATTCTAACCGCCGTGTACAGTGGGAGCAGCCTGCATCGGCGCACAGTCGTAAGACACTGCCGACTACCTGTCCTGCACACTTCATATGTAAGACATTCACCTGAATTGATGCTATTGCATTCATTTGCCCTTTTATTGATGTGAAATATGAATACACGTCATACTAAAAATACTGATGATAATTACATTAAGCTAATTATTTGATATAAAGGGGCTATTTTCTCTTCTTCCAAGACAATTTTACACTGCATAAGCTCACGCTTCAGGACATGCCCATCTATTTTTTTGTAAATCTATGTTAAAGCCAAATGTTCTGTTTCTTTCTGGAAGGTTGGCACTTCAGCACCTGCCCATCTGGTTGCCAGCATCACCGCACTGGTTTTAGAGGCAAAGTAAACACTTCCCAATAATAGTGGGCACAAAGTATCCTTAAAAAATGAATCGCCTTATGAATGGCAGTGTAAGTTCAGCTTGGGCACCTCTACAGCCCTGCACTGACCTGGCGTGATGGGCAGCATACAACAATCCAGCCTTCTAGACCTTCACATCTCAGATCGGATGACTGGCAAACAAATGGCGCTGGCAGACCGGGTGAGTCTGCTAAAGTAATCATCATTAAGGTTTTAAAAGTGAAAAACATAAATGAAGGATGAGCAGATGACGACTGGCTCTCGCCTCGGTTTAGTCAGCCATTATTATGGGCATGGACGTCTTGATGCTGGGAAGCTGGTCCACCTGGCCAGGAAATGGACAGCTGTCCATCCTCAGAGGAAGTGCATGAGCGATGTCATCACCCGGCCCCTGTAAGAAGGAAATGTTCATAGTGACAGCAAATAGTATTAGTGTTCTGGAAGGATCTAACACACAGGGCTGCTTTAGTTGAGATCTATTATGATAGATAAGAATTGTTAGCAATAAGAGCTGTGCTACTTCCAAAGAAAGACAGATTCCCCAGGTGATTAAGGGTTATTCTATACCTTATTGTCCGGTAGTGAGCTACATGGGAACCTAATATTGAAATGGAATGAGACAGCTTGCCTGAGGACCAGAAATTGGATTCGCTCTCTTGAACACATCCGGGCAAGACTCACCTTGACCTACACCAGGCATGGAGATCTCTCCATTGTCCTCATCAGCCCACTGGGAGCACAGTCCACTCTGGTCACCATCAGGCAAGGAACACACCATGAAATTGCATCATGGAGTTCCAGAGCGTAACCGTTTTGTAATAGAGCAAATGACACAGTAGAAACACTTCTGCATGTTAAAACAATGACCCATGTGTGACACTCGGTGTGGCTGTTCCCACCAACGCGACGTAACTGGTCTGGCGACGGCCATCTCATCTTCCTGCTCAGGCATTCTGATGCATCTACAAAGGGATACTCAGATTGGGCCTTGACAAGCTTCCATAGCTGGAATGAAGACCCTACAGGGGAATGGACTCTCCAGATAGAAAAGAGGGGCTACTGGCCCACCAGCGGTGAGCGTCAGCCCCCCTCAGTCAGAATGTCAGAGGAACACAAACTGATTAATAATAGTAGGAATCTCATTCCATGCAAAGCTGGTCTTGGTTAATAATGTAGGGAGAGAAAACTAACAGTGAAATAAATCCTGATTCTCTTAAACATTCAGAAAGGCACCATCGTTCTGAATCACGACTAGCATTATGATCTCTTTACATTCCTCAGGTATTTTGTCTAAATTCCAACTAGAGCTATACGGGACAAGGGAGTGCATGAGAGCACGCCGGGTGGGACGGACGCCTGTTTGGAAGTGTCTGATTCTCAGCTCTAATGGCAGCTGTACCGGTAAGAAACTACACACCAGGGCTGTTTGATCACACCCTTACGCGGGCCTTTGGTCGGTTGGTCCCAGACGATTCATTAAAAGAAGTACTGAGTTGGATAGAAAGAAAAATCAGTAGCATTTGTGGGTGAAGATTTGTTCTTGATTGGAAAGAAGCACATACTGCAAATGATTTAGACCTGAAATACTTATATACAGATGTGAAATAGCCATTTTGGCTAATTCTAGCACATTTACAGTACATTTTTTGTTTATTAATGTGCACTGTCCATGTCAAATAAACCATAAATAAAATAAAATAAATATAATTCACTGTGGCTAAGGGCGTCTGCCAAATGCTGTAAATGTAAATGAAAAATTTTCTATCCTAATTTTCCAGAGCATCAAAATGAGATGAAAATCTGCAGATCAGATAGAGCGAATTCCATGTAATGTGTGTTATTTGCCTCCGAGTATTTTCCAAGTACTCAACAAAAATAATGTTTCTTTAAATGACACTAATAAAACAGAGTACTCCCATTTAACATCTGAAAAAACAAATTGCTAGACATAATCCGTTATCAGAAAGTAATGGGGACAATGATGATTTAAAATGAAATCTCCCATATGTAATTAGACAACATGCCTATCAATTGTTACCCGTACATAGCAACTAATGCTTAACATTTACAGATGTTTTTGCTATCAAAGTACAAATCAGATTTGTAGCAGTACAACTGTAGCTATTTTCATCAAACTTGACATAGGCAAATTATATTTTTATGCAGGATAATAATACACAGAGTTCTGAGTTTCATGACAGGAACATACCCCTGTTAGCCTGGAGGGAACCTGCCTGCTCATTCATGACAAAGTTTGGGATTCAAAAGTGGCAGATTGCATGTTTAAACTAATCACATCAATGCCTATATCTGAAATCAAGAACAAAATCTGTATGTGAAATGTTTTTGTTTTATCAAGTATTATGGACACATCCTAGTATAATTGATTCATATTCCATGCAGCTGTACAATTCATAAATCATTACTTGGATTCATTATTAAATATATGGCTACTGTACTGTTACTGTACTGATTTGTTACTGGGAATTCATACTTGGACAAATTTACAATATTTTTCTGACGTGATTTGGCTGGGCTTGGATGCCACTTATCTTGCCTGGACTTATTCAGTCAGATACCCAATATGGGATCATTTATAAGTCTCATTAAGGTGGGAATTTGAAGACCGGTATTGGGACACTGGGGTACATGTACACTAGTGTCTCATGCTCTGCTGTCCTGAAAACCTCTGAACCTGCAATAATTACGCACACTTTCATGGGAAACGCGTGTCCGAGACTGTACCTCTAACGCTTTCTGGATTTTAGTTTTTCTAGCGGCTCTTTCTTTTTTGTAACGCAGAGTGCACCTACCCCTTGTACTTATTTGAGAACGCCTGCCTGCCCTCCTGCCCCCCTCATTATTACGAGTGGGGTAACAGCACCCAGTCGCCACGACGCTGCCAGTCGTGCCATCATACTTGCCATACATGCTTTGGTCATCGGGAAACTAATTGCCTGGACTGTCCACCATTCTCCACGCTGGACCCTCAGCTGAGTACATGCAGCACTCCTTCCTACCCCTGGGACCACCAGACTGAGGTTGGCGAAAGCATGAAGTGGTCCGGGCTCATTCTGGGCATTCTCTTTGGTGGGCCGCTGGTCCTGGCATGTTTCCTGTGTGCGGCAGCGTGGGCAGTACACGGAATCATACAGATCCGAACGGCGGCAAGGAGCCAGCCGAGAGGCAACGAGAATTTTGGAGATTTCAGAGGTGTGGAAGGGGCTGCCTTGAATGAGTTGGAGGAATCACACTCTCTTTGAGATTTGCTATCACCGATAACAGAAAATCAGCAGCAACCACTGGCATCAGTGCAGCTTATTCTTGGTGGATATATAAAATTAGTTCTTTGTGTGTGTTATCTTTTTACTTTATGTTCACACTCAGTTGTACTAACTGAAAATAAAAATCTTTTCCAACTATCCATCTTCTAATTGGGCAGGGTCACGGGGGGTGCAGCTTAACCCAGGAAGTACAGGGGACACCCTGAGGGGTGCTAGTAAACTGCAAGGGACATACACGCACAGATAAAAAAATATTTTGAGTCTTAAAATTATGCACAATGGTTAATAAAAAATTATCAGATACATTTTAAAGGAAACTGTAGCTCAACATATTCAGCTGAAAATGTTATCAGACACACAAACCTTATTATTCATGCATTTTACTGTTGTTTTCTTCAAAATGAGGGGGAAAACATATTCCGATCCAGAATATTCCTCTACAAAAAAAGTCTTTGTATGCAAAATGCCACTTAAGTTTTATTGGCTTGGAGGTTAGCGGTAATGGTATTTTATGCAGCTGTACAAAGCTCTAGACCAGTAGACCACAGGAATGAAATATTTCTGGAATAGGCAGAGTTTCCAAGGGACAAAGCTCAACAGTATCCTGCTTCTTTGCGTGTCCACATATCCTATTGACTAAAAGTAATTTAGTTGCCCTGGTATCTGAAGTGGCCAGGCAGAAGGGGTAGTTTGGATATACAGACTGTCTTCAGATCCATGGAACAACTGTCTGAGGCCAAGGTCAAACAGACAGTACAGATTGAAGACCACCATGGCCAGAAGTGGGAAGAGCGTGAGTCCCGAACCGAAACCTCTCCAGGCGCTACAAAAATGGAGCGAAAGCCAGTAGACCGACCTGGGGAAGAAGAACAAAGGGTCATCATGGCATTTGTCTTTTTTAATGTTATATGACATTATCAGCTGGAGTGTATTGCAGCCTTATGCCACATTTCATTCACCTTCCACTCTTACCTCCCTCCAACAAAAACTCCAGATAATATAGGCACTGCCTTCATATGGTCTTGATGCAGGAAGGTTGCCATGACAGCAAGATTGAGGGAATAGAGGAAGAGCTGCTCAACAGATGAGGTAACAAATAGCTGCAAAAATAAGGATCTTCTAGGACACTCTCCCAGTGGGTCCAAAGACGCCGAGCAGAACCGGGACACAGCACCTGTTAGCATCGCTGGAGGAAAGAGAGAAGCATGTATCCCTCATATCTGAAAAACTTTAACAAACAACAAAACACCTGTAGCCAGGTTCCCTCCACCCAAGATGGCGGTAAACTAGTCTGACTTTCGCAATAAGGACAATTATCTATTGGATGGGAAATTCTTCTACTGCTACTTGGAATTAATTTACTGAAAATCGTATTTTTAATTACATATTCCTACAAAGTTTTGAATACCAAGCAAGATGACGAACTGCAGCATAAACTAATAAATCAGTCATACCAAGAGGAATATTACATTTGTTTTTGAGAGTATGATAGAACCTTAGTCACTAGGCAAAACAGTGACCCCTATACTCTCCGTACTTTTACTTTCAATGCTGGTTCTGAGAAAAAACATTAAGAATGACATATTTCTGAAAGCTGAAGGTGTCAGAATAATTCAAAGACATAAATAATATCAAGCACACGCATTGTTTGCTTCTCACTGTGATAGTATCCACTGGACATACCAAGCAGGATGGGCAACACTGCCACAGCGCAGCAGCGCAGTGTGAAGATGAGGCGGCTGACCAGGTCTGGGCAGTCGGGGGTTTCCAGAGGAAGGTAGAAGTAGAGAGCATATAGGATCCAAGGAAGGAGCAGGAGAGCAGCTAACGTGGAGCACAGAGCCGGAACGCGACCAGTCAGGCAACACTGGCGGCAGCAGCGACAGCGCCTCCTGTCTGCAGCCGCTGGCAAGGCTCCAGACTCCTGCTGTCCCTGGGAGTCCCACATGACCAGCTCAATACACTCTGGTGGGCTCCGCATCAGTGGGCTTCCCTCATCCACAGTTGAATCGATATTGCTGCATTCCACTGGGCTCGTGCTCTGCGTTTCCCTGCTGATGAAGTCGTCACCCTGGACAGCTTGCACTGGGAAGGTGTCTCCGTGTTCACTGGAGCCTTCTATTGTGTGAGTGTCATTTGCCATTATATGCTCTTTGGCTTCTTTTTCACTGACACAATATCTTGATTCCTCTGTGACACTTTCATGCGATTGAATATAGCAAGAATTACTTCCTAAAGATAAAGGGGGGGGGGAATTAATTCTGATTTATTACAGTTCACAATGTTCCCTAATCATAATCAATGGTCAACAGAAAGAAAATTTCTGTAAAATATAAGCATTTACTGTAAATCTATAAATAAATGGCTTACGGTCAAGATCATCTCCTGCTGTGGAGGGCCCCAGTGAATGCTGGGAACCAGGGACAGAGTGAGAGGGAGACTGCAGCTCCTCCACCGAGGATTCGGGGCTATCTGACACTGGGGCCAGGGAAATCTGGGTGTCCAGATCCAGGAAGGGGGAGAAGGACAGACGCGCAGGGTCAATGTCCTGCAGCTGGTTGATGATGTCACTGATGGACTCTTTAACGCTGTCGAACTCCTTTGTGTCGCGGCGGTTGGTGGCGAGATGCCCTGTCGATGTCATTGTTAGAAAACCTAGAACATGATAAAATAACTGCAAGTAGTTGTAATTCTTTGTATTTCACATCAAGACCATACATTAACGTCGGGTTGTTCTACCAGTCAAATGGGGTTTGCACAATGTCAGTCCACAGTGCAGTGAAGCCGTCACATACACAGTGCAGAATATCTATACTGTTACAACGTGGACATGACAATGACTTAGATTTCAATGTTAATCAAGTTTCAAACTAAAGCACGAGAAAAAGATTGTAGGAACTACGCGATGCACGGCAATTCAACTTCAATCGATAAAACTGGTTATTTCATCAATCTTTGTGGTTTTAAGTTTTTTTTCCCCATCGTGCCTCAAAGATATGCACATCTGGGAATTCAGTTTACACCCGACCGCTGGGCCAGAAGTGGCGGGCGGCTTCTTGGATGACCGAAAGACTGAGAGACAAATTGGCAAGGCATCTAGAATCCGTCTACAGAAGGGTACACTGTCCAACCATAGCAGAGTGGTAGCACTCAATTCCGTAGTTGGTATTTAGCAGATCAAAATAAACGCACAATGATAAGTTTTATGCACCCCTATTATTTCATGTTTTATTTTCGGGCCCGATAAAGTGAACGCATCCATTACTGTAAAACAAATTTATTTAAGTTTGAATAAACACTAAAGCCCTATTTTGTTTATAAATTCATTACCTTGCAGAATGGAACGCTAACATTTACCAAACTTACCAAAACACAAAAACAAAGCATGAGAAACCACGGCAGAATTTCTTACAGCTAAACACTAATAAGGAGATGCACTCAGTTTTGAAAAGCAGGGAAAAAAAATCCGCATTTAAGAAAATGTGGTATTTTTCTCTACATAGGCTACAACATTGGCGAAGTAATTATAAAAGCCGTATCCTAATCATTTCCATACGTCTACTAACCCGTGCACAATAGTCCGGTTAACCATGCGCCACACTTACAAATACTAAGGCAGTTTCGGAACAAAAGTGCTAATATGAATCTCAACAATGCTTTCGGAAAAAAATTTAAGAGCAAATGTGGGGAAAATATGAATTGCAGATGAGACTTTAGTCCACTTACTCGAAAATATTCTGATCAACCAATAGCAAGATGAGCAGCGCTGCTACGGGCGACGCGTTCAGATCGGATCCTGGAAAAGCGGCGTCTAGTCAGACTTCAGAATCTTTTTTGCCCACTTTCCCTCAAACTCTGGGACGCCGAACTTTGAATCAGATTTCAAGTCAGACAAATTACTACGCTTTAACCCCCCGCCCACACTTTTCCTTTTTTTGGTCCCGAACGTCACAAGAACCATATGGAGCAAATAACTCGGCGGCGGACGAGTGGAAAAGCGCACAGGACTGAGTTAGTGCCGCGAAACACGCAACATTATATACCATGGAATTCAAAAGCAGGACATGTGTCACCGCGATAATGGTTAACGCATGGACGTTCAGAAGCGTCAAGTGCACCAGAACTGGTAAATATTTTTTAGCAAAACTAGTTACCAGTTTTAACGAGCTGTTAAAAAAAAGTCAAAATGCACTGCTGGTTAAGCTTCAATACTGGCAAAAATGTCTGACGCGGCAGCCTCGGAAAATTTCCACTCATTAAGGTGGCTGCCGCGCAAAACGTAACACTTACAGCATGACAGAAGCATAAATGGTACTGAAAGCACAAGCCGAGCAATTGGTATCGGCCAGTTCTTCGGACCTTAGGCGGGGGGCGACTTTTACTGAGCACCTTAACCATAGCAATAAAACAAAGGTAGTACCTGACATATGGGATATATCGTTTATTTGTCAGAACATAATCATTGCAATTACACAATCTGCTTATTGTAATAACAGAAATTGATTTTCAAATGCTGAAATGGAGAACCTCTTTGGCTACACTGTTCAAAGGTTTAAGCTTAAAAAAGTAGAAATCAAAATACATCAAATCAGCTTGCAATTAAAACGACTTTAAAACTACTGCAATCTGACCAAGAGACAACTTCTTGCTCATGTGAAATTCAAGTAATTCTCAGATTTATACAAATTAAAAACACTTGGTGCATAAACCTTGCACAACCATGCGCACAAGTAGTATACTGACAGCGCAAGTATTTAGAAAACACAGAAATCCTCAAAGAAGCCAGACATTCAGGCGCTTTAGCCCTCCAAAAGCTGTCGCATGGTGGTGATCTTCTCCCAGTGTCGATCTTCTTGCAGTAATGTTCATACCAGTAATGTAGGACCAGTGTAATAAGGAACAAGGGCCGAGCCAGAGACAGTGTCAATCTTCGGAGAGCAGTCGATGCAAATGGTCCAACCTTTTCTTCAGCACATGCCGAAAATCATCCTTAAAATAACCACAGCATTTAGAACAAGCAAAATCTGAACTGATATGGCCAGAAACCCCTGATATATCAGACAGACTAGCAGTTATCTGCGGAGTTAGTGACTTTTTTTCAAAATGCCGGTTGCACTGTGTTTAGAGGCAGGTTATTTGCATAATCAAATCGACAAAGAAGGGGTTTGCAATCCCACCCCCAGTAAACCACCATAAACACAGGTGACACCAGCTGGAACACTCCGGTCTTGAATAATCTAAGAAACTCAGCAGGTTTAAAATTCTCTTCACCACCTCCAGTACAAAGGAGCATCAAATTATAAAACATAATGGGTACTGAAACAGTAAAGTATATTCACAGCTGCCTTTCTCAGTGTTCAGAAAGGGTATGATATATAAAATAAGAACAACATTAAAATTAGTATGCAGTCCAGCTAGTTTGAAGCTGAGTTTTCATCTCTGAACCCTACTGGTGAGAAAGTGATCAGCTAGAATTCTAGAAAGTACATCAGACACACAACACTGAGGGCACACAGATGCCCCATTTTCAGCATGTGTTTCGATGCAAGCAAAAGAATACATTTCACATATAAATATGAATATCCAGAAGGATGTTGACAGGGCAATTGTTCATAATTAATTAATTAACTGTTCAATTCTATTTGTTTTTATTAAAAGCATTATCTGAGAATGCGGCCAACTCACAGCTTCTGCCAGCTTGGTGAGGTACGGGATGAGCTTCTGCAGCTCCCTGTCGTCCTTCTCCCCCACCCAGCCCTTAATGGGGATCATGTTCATCACCTGACAAAGGAAGCAAACAAAACAGTAACTAGAACTCCGCTCCCCACAGGACTGAAGGGGGCAGGACACAGAAAAATACTTACATGATAAGGGAATGTGTGTGGAGCGTTGTCCAGAATGACCGTCTTTGCCAAATCCCTCTCCAATATGCTGAGGTCCTTCACATAGTGACCATACACGCATAAACAATCCTCCCGGTACAAACGATGTCTGCAAATAAAGTAAAAATTATGTATCGCATCAGCATACATCCAGTTATATGAGCTGGGCCTCTTCATTCTTAAGATTTAGCCTCATACAGCAAAGCAAACAGTCTTTGGGATTAGTCACAACAAGGAAAAAAACAAACATTTTTAATGTCTGTTGCCAAAGAGATTAGTTTTTCCATTTTGGAAGGGTGGGTTATACTTAGACAGTCGGCAACAAACCACACACACACACTATGTACATAACTATTATGACACCTGCCCATTACACCCATAGGAACTTTAATGACATCCCATTATAAATCCATAGGCATTAATATGGAGCTGGTCCCCCCTCTGCAGCTATAACAGCGGTCACTCTTCTGGGAAGGTTTTCCACAACATTCTGGAGTGTGTCTGTGGGAATCATTGCCCATTCACCTAGGAGAGCATCTGTGAGGTCAGGCACTGATATTGGACCTGAAGGCCTGGCTCACAATCTCCGCTCTAGGTCATCCCAAGGTGTTCGATGGGGTTGAGGTCAGGGATCTGTGAGGGCGAGTCAAGTTCTTCCAAACCAAACTCACCCAACCATGCCTTTATGGACCTCGCTTTGTGCACTGGGGCACAGTCATGCTGGAACAGAAAAGGGCCTTCCCCAAACTGTTCCCACAAAGCTGGAAGCACACAGTTGTCCAAAATGTCTCAGCATGCTGAAGTATGAAGAGTTCCCTTCATTGGAACTAAGAGGCCTCACCCAACCCCTCAAAAATGTCCTATAAATGTACCACGCTTGAATTCATTGAGCTCTTCAGAATGACTCATCCTTTCACAAATGTTTGTAAACCTGACTGCATGGCTTGGTGCTTGAATTCATAGCCCTCTGGAAATGAATGAAACAGCCAAATCCAATGATTAAGAGAAGTGCCCCAATCCTTTTGTCCATATAGTGGGCATACGTACAAAGACACACACAGACACGCTGGACGCCTATCTATAACCAAGACAAAGCAATTTCCCTTTGGGATTAATAAAGTTCTTTGAATCTTGAATCTTTGAATCTTGAAAATGGGAACCTTCCATTCATTTGTATAGGAAAAACCCTAATCCCAATCACTATACCCTTAATCCCTACCCAGCCCTAACCTTAAGTAACAAAGCCATACCATAACCAGCTCTAACCATAAGTAACCAAACAAAATACAAGACTTTTACTTTGATTGCAATCGGATTTTTTTTTTTATAAAACTGAGGTCATCCAAATGGGGACCTGAAAAATGTCCCCAAAAGTAAGGAGGTTTCAGGCTTGAACACTTTTGTGGCATTTTGGTCCCCAAATGAGGTATAAGCAACCCCCCCCCCCAAAAAAAAAACACACACAGACACACAATAAGGTAAATATCACCAATTTTTAGAAGGGGGGCGAAGGTAGAAGGAGGTATACATTCAACCTGTGACCAAACAAAATTGTATTCAAGACTTTTGCTAGGCAAAATACCAAGAGAGTAAACTTAAAGCAGGGAATTAAAGAGAGCTCACCTGAAGAGCCGTCTGTCGGGGTCGAGCGTCTCCAGGATCTTCTCTGCATACTCTCTCTTCGCAGACGTATACACAAATATCTGAAAGCCAGAACCAAGTCAGCACTGAAAGCAGAACCCAACACAAATACAGCCCAAACAAGGTTCTCTTCGATAAATGTTTTTCAAAACAAATCAGGCTACAGCACCAAGTTACTGACAATCCATGGAAAGTGAGGATTATCTATACATCAAAAATGTAGATGTGAAAGTAGCGAGAGGCTCTCATCGCACACTAAGATAATCATACCTCAAAGAGTTCTGACATTCTCTGCAGAAATTCTTTGACATGTGGTCTCAGGATAAGAAAGACCTACACAACAGATTACATAAGCGAAACGCAGACAGCAGTGACAAGACAAAATAGGTTTTATCCCAGCGGTTTGATTTAACCATTAAGATGACAGTAAGATAAAGACTTCAGACTTTAAGGAACTCCATTAATGTCCTTCACGTGCCTCTGAAACTGTACTTGGCTTTCAAAAGCACTTCTAGGAAAACTGAGCCATTGAAAAATTACAGGCTTTAGCAAGACAATGCCTTTTAAACTACATAGTATGCTTTACAGAAATGCATGAATAAATACTGACACCAGGTGTTCTTTAAAGGGTACTGCACCATAACATCCTTAAGATATCCATTACGTGTGGGAGGAGTACAGAAAAGAACGGTAATTTTAAGGATTTAATCTATGACTTAAGCTAGCTATAAACCCTCCAGCCTATAGCTTCTTGCCCAACACAGACTGATACTCAGGACAGGGAGGGAAACATACTTCGTACTTGTGATCCTGAAAATGTGTGTGGAAGGTGTACTCTGCATCCTCGATAATACTGAGCGAGCTGTACACAAGCGTTTCCTCCTGGAATAAAGGAACGAGTAGCATTAGGCACTGAGTAAAGAGCAAATAACTTCAGTCAACGTACCAGTAAATGAACAGACAGTGGCAGGCAAGTTCTCCCATTGATAACCGTTTGATAACTTTCGATAAGTGGGAAAGTTAGAATTCTGATTAAAATTTCAGGATTACATTCAAAAAATCATGTATACTTCTGTTCTACACGTCATAGATCAAAAGATTAAAAATAGTATGTCAAATAGACACAGAGTAACCGTTAAAGTTTTAGACAAGTATTGCATACAAACAACCTCACTTTGTGTCCCTACAACAGAAGACGGCAAATCAAACACATAAAAGCCAGAACAGACCAGATCCAAGACAAGCGTGGCCTCAGGCGTACTCCTCGTCTTCACTGGTATTTCCCGGACACTCAGTTTCGACAACTGGGACTGTGACGGAATGTTCTTGATGAAAGTGTAACTAAGACCGAGATAAAGCAGCAGGTAGGATTGCACAATTAAACAGCACAACAGCTAACAATTTATTTGTAAACCACTTCTTAAAAACCCCAACAATGCATATCCCATTATGCAGGGGTTCCCAACCCTTGGTCAGCGAACCAGGACTGGTCTGTGACTGGAATTTCCCCCAGCTCTGGAATGCTGCCAGTCTAGTGGATGGTTTATTTGAAAAATAAAACACTTTCAGTTTTTTTATGACCCACTCATTTTCACACACAAGATCTTATGAAACTGCCGATTATTCCACCAGCACTAACTTCTCTGGGCCATTTTACTGGTCCGAAATTTTTTGTACAACAAACTGGTCCAAGGACGTTAAAAAGTTAGGAACCTCTACCATATAGCACATTGATGAAAGATTTAAAAATTCATTTTACAAATATGGTTCCAACGAAAGAAAGGGTGAAATTGAAACAGAATCAGACTCACGGGTTAAATACTCTGGCTGGTTCCTCTTTACTAATCAGGCAGAATGTGTCATACCCAAAGAAACACAGGTCTGGATTCAAGAGATCCTCTTCAGAAAACTTCACACCTGCAAAAACATGGTTATTTAAACAAGACAAAGGTGCTACATTTTTAAAGTTACTTCAACAGATAAAGAATGCCAAATTTCTCCTTTCATATAAGAACAATTGCATTAAATTTGGAAGGAAGAGGTCAAAATTGTACTGTGTTACATTGCAACAAGTATGCCATGCCTTAAATTCAGGGAAGAGGAACCTCCAGGGATCTCAACCACAACATGGACAAAGATTGGAATATTTAGACCCTTCCGTGAACTAGCCAATTAGCACGAGACAAAGACCAGTTTGAAGGATGCAACATTTCCACACCTTTGCTTTCACCTACTGGCGAAGCCTTTCTCTTGGGTCTTGCCTGCAAAATCGAGTGCTGTGTGACAATTGGGACATCATTTTCGCTACAATCCGTGGAAACCACTGCAGCTGCTTTTTTCTTGTCCTGCACACATGAGTATACCAAGTAAATGATAGTATTGTATGTAATCCAAGATGCCGTCTTAATTAGGCACGAACAAAAAGCCCTGTAAACATCCGGGCCCTTGCAACACACTTAAAATACTGCCATGGCAAATGCTGCTGAAACAGTAAATGGTACTTAGAGAAGACAAGATTTGCTGTACACTTCAGACATGTAGTACGAAATAAAAGCCACTGCAGTTTTGCACCAATGAGATTGCGGGGCTGCGCCTGACGTAATCGCCCCCGTAGATAACATCCGTCGGTTCAAATTAGGCTGCGATTATACGTGTAAACTTAAGCTCGGTAAGAAAGACGCGAAAATAAAGGCAGGCCGCGGAGCTGCGGCGGCTAACGAGCATGATTAAATAAGTAAGCATCACTCTGGTGATGTTCTGATGCCGATGTTACATGGTGTCTGTTACCCGTAAGTCGCACACACGTTACCCGGTCAGCTACCCGTGCTGCTTCGCCGTGAGTGAAAGGTCAGGCGGGGGGAGGAAAGCCGCGACCAGCCAGCAGCGTTCACTAACCAGTCGCCGGCCGGGGATTGGTCCCTCCGGGCTCACCCTCACTCTCCTCCGCCGCCGCTCGGCGCTCGCTGCTGCCTTCCTGAAAGTACTACAGCGCGGCGTCCGCGCCACCTTCCGAGGCCGCAGCTTCATCCTCTTCTTTCCTGTCCCCTAGCCGTCGAATTACCGATAAACCGCTAACGCCAAAGGATGAAAACAAAAAAAATGGCTGGTGTTTACTGGCACAGCTGGCTAGGCCCGCCGTCTGCCCCAATGCTCGCCATCTTCCCACCTCGATACGCTGGCAGACCGTTCAAATCGGCCGGGTTACGCCGCGGGGCGGGGCGGCGGCGTGCGGGTCACACCGCCATCAGGCCCCGTGCGTCCTAACGCCCGCCGCAGCTGCAGATAAGGGCTGTGCGTCTGTTTCTTCCTAGATTATATTTCACGTTAAGTACTTTTACGGCGATTAATATTAGATATATCAACCAGACTAATTATGACTTGGATGACTGGGTATCAGTGATAAATACGAAATCAGCTGAAGTTAGCAAAAATTGAACAGGTTGTATTGCCGGTGGCTATACATACAGACTGGAGTTCATTACATGTCAAGCTTGGCATTAAATGGTCTGGGTGTAAATAAAAGGGAGGCACCCTTCTTGCCTGCTGCGGCTGACACCCTGAACGGGACGCGAGTCCATCTCGGGATACTACCATTTAAATTCGCATAGTTAGTACAGTACAAAGTTAAAAAGAGCAACCAGTATTTGCCAGATATTCCTGCAGCTCATGCAATGTTGTTGTAGACCTCTTGGTAGCCTCCCTTTTATCAGGGTTTATACAGGATTCTTCCATTTCTTGTTATTTATATTAATAATTATGTTAATTAATAATTGTGTTTTTATTGTCATTTTATATTCTATGTGTTTTTACATTTTTCTCTTGTATTGCACTTTGTGTATTGTGGCTTGAAAGGTGCTATTTAAATAAAGTTTATCATTATTATTATTATTATTATTATTATTATTATTTATGTGTGTGTATATATATATGAAGACATACACACACACACACACACACATACAAAACCCTCAAAAGGTACACAAATCAGCCACATGGTGACATTACTTCGAAAAACTTGCTACTTCTAACTAATAATGGCCAAATTAAGCCTCATGTACCATTCGCTGTTTTTTCTGACCCTACTAGATGGCACTCTCTGTTCAAAAAGGGCACAAAGAATTCATTCCCCGAAGCAAAACAAGAACGCCATCAAGTGGAGATCAGAAAATATAGCAAATGATTCACGAGACGTCATTTGGCCATAGCTATTCTTAACCCATAAAAGTTTGCAAAAATGGCCATAATACTCATGTATGATGCAAATATCAGAAAATTTTATTGACAATCTTTAGAATTTATTTGGTTACAGATTAAATTCTCCATTTGTGTATATTAATCTGGGCTTGAATACATATCTGAGTACAAAATGTGTAAACCTTCAATGTGTTTTGGTTACAAACCAATGACACATGGGCCTTTGTTTAAACCTGAGAACAATAATGCACTGTACAGTAATTTATAAAACAGTGCTAAAAGTGAAAAATGACCCTTTCTTTCTGAAGTTGTACATTTTTTTACATTGCAAAACATCTGACTGCAAAAGCTTTCCAGGATTGCACAAAAAAAGCCTTTAAATTTCCATTTCATTTGGGAAAGTAAAACAGTTCTATTCTCAGAAAGGACCATACACTTCCACATCAAACCCTAAGCATTCAGAACATGCCATACATTATAGCTTTTTAATACTGCTTTCTACATCTCCAGCAAAAGATGGCTTCAAAATACCCATTTACTGTTGTTTTTTTCTTTTTGGAAAAAGGATTGCTATATGTCCAAGGTTATAAAAACAGTTCACAAATAGTCAGCAAGCTGCACTATACACAATTACTTATCGAATAAAGTATCACCAGATAAGTTATATAAGCAGATCTCTAACATGTAGACTGTCCTACACATAGACTGTCCTACACACCGTGATCTGCAGTGGATCCACACGTCTCTCAGCTGGAGCTTTCCACAGCTCTGCACAGCTCCTGGCCTGATGACACAGGCCTCACTATTATGGAAACTATTCACAATCATCATGCAAGTGCACCACAAGCAATTTCCCCAGATTTGGGTTTCTTAAAGAGATGAAAACCCTTGTACCCTTTGCTCTGCCTCCAATCTGTGAAACTGAAGGTAGGAGTGGGTTTCCTGAAAATGATGTCTGATTTAATTTCACATTGTTTTTGCATATATAATTTTTATGTCAGAAGATAGATTACTCTAGGAATGCATCTTTTACAAAATACATATGAAACCTTTGCTGGGTTAATATAATGAAGTTCAAGGACAAAACTTTATTTACAAAATAATGCTCATTTATTCATTTTAAAAAGCCACAAAGCTTAACTCAGTTTTATATGAGGGGAAACAGCATTATGAATTGTCACAGCAAAAGGCATTGTATCATTTAATAAGCAAAATTTAAGGTAATTTTCCCCAAAAAACTCTCTTGCAATAAACTACTGTTCCAGTAACTAGTTTTAAACACGACAATGTAAAGTTTTTCCCCCAGCACTTGCAATTCTATTAGAGTACCTAGTAGTAAAGATATTCAGCACTTTCTCTTTAAAATGGAAGGAAAATTAAGCTCTAAATCAAATAACATTCACAGTGGTGGTTTCTTTCAGACAGCAAAGTCAAACCAAAACGTCATATTCTTTAAGGCTTCAGAGAGTGAGCTTGGTAGTGGCTTTGTTAGTCTCTGGTATAGTAAACATTTATTTTTACCATTGTGGTTAGTACATCTGCCAAGTGTGATCAAAAAAATGCCAGATACATTGTAGCAGCTGCAATAATTAAGTTAGACATGGATCAGTAACTGAATAAAAGACCATAGAAATGCACAGAAATACATTTTACAGCCATTATTGCCATGTTTGAATTAAACGCTTTAAGACAATTATAGTTTCAGGATTGTTCTCCAAAATAATGTGAGTGGAATTTGAAACACAAGACCTCCATATTCTCACAGCATGCAAACAGATTCTTCCTGAGCCACTTTATGGTGTCACTTTCACTCGATTATGATAACATGCTGTTATCTCATAGCCTTGAGAGCAAAAAAAAAAAACAACTCACTGATAAACATAGCAAAAATCCATTGTTTAACCTTATTCCAAATTTTCCAGCAATTGGACAAAAGAAAAAAGCTATAGCCTACAAGCAACACAATACATAAAAGCAGAAGAACAGTAGAAGATAAGGTTTCATAATTTGCATCAGCACGTCTAATTCATGTTAACAATAAAACAGATGTGGTTGTGCCTCACTACCATCATAATATCCTTTGTTGATGTAATGCTGTTTTCAATCCACAGGGGTGCAGTATTGAGACCCTCCAATTTCAACCTGACAGGACTAACATCAGACATCTGTAAAGCGAGTGCATTTCGTCAATAGAACGGCCCGGGCAAAAGGAATTCGGCCTAAAGGCCACTTTCCAGGGGTGTGGCAACAGGCAAAGAGAGGAAACTCGTAAGTATAAAGAGACTGGCTGCGAGGATCTCAGAGCAATATATGTGTAAAGGGCCTCTGACTATCAAACACGGAGAGTTTAAACCTTCCTATCTATAGTAGTAGGAAAGACCAAAATTAAATTTAGATTAAAAAATCAATATTGACAAACAACACATCAATATAATATAAATGGAGCAAAATCCATTTCCAGACTCTAAAAACACCCTGACAATATAATGGGTTTAAAATAGGAGAATTAAAACCCCTTCAAAGTAGCACCACATGCTGTAAATGCCCCCAGAACAGAACTGATAAGGGGGGGGGGGGAGAATCCTTGATCTCCATCTCCCAATAATTTCAGGAATAATAATAATAATAATAATAATAATAATAATAAAAAAAAAAACTACTTGTTTTTCCACACATTTCATTCACCAAAAATAAAACTCGTTGCAACCATATTCAGTTTATTTATTATACAGCTCACTGTGCTTCAGAACCATCCTGCCGTGTGATTGGGACAGACAGTCACATGATGTTCCTGTCTGCTAAAGCCTGTCTGAACGTATTTCTGTTTTGTGAGGTAGACAAAAGCTCATATATGAGAAATCGACTTCAGCAAATATATCCATGAGGTATTCAGTGTTGTAACATCCCCTGATAAACATTAAGGCATAAACAGCATTTTCCCTGAGAGCAATCAGTAAAGGTACACAGTTTTTGGATCTGGAGTAACAGCTTTGGCCGTCATAACAACAACAAAGACATTTCTGAATGTTCAGCCTCAGAGACTTCAGAGAGACACAGAGCTATTCACCTGCAGCTGGACAAGACCCTGCAGAAAGCCAGGAGGTCAGAAGGTCAACCTGAACATCAGAACTGACCTGAGGGATAGGGTTAGTCACTCGGCTTACTATCATTTATTTATTTTTAATCCAGGACATTGAAACATAAACACGTATCTTACAGTAAGCGCCAGATATTTACCCCAAATGGAGCAAAACCACCAATTAGGGGAACTTAAAAAGAAAAAAAAAAACGTTAGTTTGTTATGTCTATAGAGAGATTTAAATTTACCAAACTTTTACAAAACCTCATTTAGCTCATTGCTAATAATACAGCCACCCAAAAAGGAATAAAACAATGCAACAGAACAAAATCACTCAAAAAATCTTTTCATTTGATTGAATTAATGCTGCTTTCCATATTTGGCTCTACATAATTACAACTTACCAAAATACCCCAAGATTCTGATCAGGAGTAGACTAAGATGAATTGATATATCCAAATATCACATTTTTAATTTAAAAGAAAAAACAGATTTCAGATTTTTGTTGCATTGCTCTTATTTTCTGTCCTTCAAATCTGAAACTTTAGGAATTTTCCTATTCAAACATGATATGGTTAAAAGTTATTATGAAAATCACCCAATAAAACTGCCACACACAGCTGTACTGAACCAGTCAAAAAACACCTCAATCCAGTTGAATAACAGATCATTCAAGACAAAGTCTGCTGTAAAATGGGCAAGTGTTTACACTTTTCCGAAGTACATAATCTTACACATTTATGTGCTGAATGACTCATTTTCACCAAAAAAAATATTCCAATGCTGCAGAAGGAAACACACCGCATGAGATTCTCTTTACTTTTGCGCAACACTCCAAATATCGGCAAAATAAATAAAAGTATAAATTCTTTACTGAGATTGGATAATCAATTTGAAACTCACCATATGACACTTCTCCCACTTTAACATGTACACCACAATAATTTAAAAATGCAAATACACTTTAACCAGGAGTAACAACCAATTACCCTATTCTGCTTCCAAAAATCATCCTAAGTTAAAAATGTTTCTATAAATTAATGACCGATTTGTGCTGTTGTCTACTTCAGCTGAATACTCCAAAACAAATTCCTCCTATATTAAAGTACTTGGTGACAAAATAACAATTCTTATTCTGATTCTGATTCAGATTCAAAGAGGCGAAAGGAAACATTTTATTATGAGAATGTTGCACAGAATACCATACATTTACAGCAGCAACATTAATCAGGACAACTACAGAAATATGAGCTCTAAAGATAATAGCCAAAAGCTTTTTTTCCTGGAATAGTAAAACTTTGAAATAAATTCTAATAATATTTTCCATATAGAATAGTGAATCAGTAGAAAATTAAAAATATCTTTATTGCACCACCAGAATTGCCGTCTATATATGTTGTCAGGTTGATAGTGTTGCGGAATTTGAAGTGACAGAGTGGATGAACAGTGAGGTATTTCAGAGTTTTAACATAAAGCCTTTTTGTAACAGAATAACCATGAGGGTCCTTCGTGTAGCAATCTAGGGAACCAGCAGAAAGATTGATATTAGTGTGTCGGTGTATGAGCTTAGGGACTGATAGCTGCCAGGGGTTTCTGAGCTGCACTGTCTGAATGGTTATTCTAAGCACACACTGTTATAAGCTTCGAGCCTGAAAAACAACCATGAAGCCAACAACCAGCAACTGATACACAGCAAAGAGAAATACCATCAAAATTACTAGAAACAAACCTGTGTAGGTATCACAAAGCAGTCAAATCAAGAAAGCCAGTCGAAAAACATTTCGCAACCACACCACTGTGTGGCTTCATTTTCTGTCAAACCAGGCAGTCATGCACTTCCATTCAGCCCATCTGATTTAATGCAAGGCGTCATTGTACCACACAAGCCTGGGGATCAGAAGAGGCGGAGCAAGAAAAAACTAAATCTTTTGCAGATAATCTTGCAGACATGCCGTAAGACACGGAACATTGCATTAAAAGCAAAGTTCTGTATTACGCCACATTAAACTGGTCCGTTTGCATACCAGAACAACACCGAAGCCTGTTCTCTTTCAGCGCGCCTACTCACTGACATAACTGAAAAAATGCCGTGATTACTTACTTTTAGGCTACATTTCCATGTTATTCTTTGGCTACTGCAGTAACGAAGAAAGCTCACCAACCTACTGCTCATCTCTCTCTCTCTCGCTCTCTCTCTCTCTCGCTCCTCACCCGGAATCCCCGTGAGAAGCGAACATCATGCCAGGTCTCCTGCTGCAATCCAGCCATGAAATCATATGGTCTCACACATCGCAGGCAAAAGAACAAGAAGAGAGAAAGTCCAACAGCCCTGCACACTTCACTGCCACGGGCCCTTGGGCACGGAGCCCCCCCCGACATAACAAAACATACCATATTCAGCCAGTTACAGTGGTGAGAGCTCACCATTCTGGATCTGCAGCACTGAGGTATTGTGGTATACACCTGAACTCCAATTACAGCACTTCACCCACTACGGAATATTTTCAGATTAAATAAGCGTTAAAAGGCCAGAGAGATGAGCTGAGCAAGACTAGCCAAGCCTACAGATTGACATATTCCTCGCAAGCTGAGGTCCAACACCAGAGAAAGGGCCAAAAGATCAAAACAAACCTGCAAGGCTTTTTATATTATATATATATATATATATATATATAAAAAAGGACTTCTTGAATAACTAAACAATACATTGTATTGTCTTTCTGTATGTTTGCGGGGAGGCCTGTTGGACGTTTGGCTACAGTTATGTACCAACTGTTTATCCATCAAATATTGTGTCCTGTTTAACATCGTAAAATCTGAAAATGAGTGTCACGCTGAGGTCACGCCGGTGCTTTGCTACGCCCTGAAGAAAAAAAAAAGTATATATAAACTATCTGAAGAATAAAATAGAGGATATTTACAAATTCTTTTTAAAACCCTAAATATACTTTTCTTTGCAGTTACCATGGTTTATAATAATAATAGAAATAATAATAAATCACCATCATATCAACATTCATATAAAATAAAACATTGAATTTTTCCTCATTTGAAGAGAAGTTTATCAGTAGATGTGTGAAGAATGTATGAGCAGTGGAAAAGCGCTACATTGGAATTCCTTTCATTCTCTTGTAGTCTGTACATTTATGGTATAAGTGATTCACAGGTTGTGGATATGCATCTCCACTACATTGGCTCTTCTGAGAAAACTGGCTGCTAATCAGGAACATGTTTGAGAAGTTAAAAAGGGTGGCGGAACACCTGAGATACCATGTTAGCTTCAACTTTAATTCATATTTTTCCATCCTTTTTTGGTGTAGGCTATATAAAAAATGAGGTTGGTTTTTGGCTTTAGTTAGCTTTACAAAAGGGTGGGGCGAGATCGCTATGGCGACGGGTTGGTGGAGGAGGATGAGGTAGGTGTGTGGGGCACCGGCTGCGAGCTGCTCCGGCTGCCGGGCGCTTTGCTGCTATTGGAGTTTGAGGTTCCCGGGGGGCCTGACGGGGCTGACCCAGGTGCCTGAGCAAAAAGCACACCTAAAAAAACAATTAGAGGATATTATGATAATGATCAAAGCCTGATAAGCACACCATAAAAGGCGTACAAGTTTAATCATCTGGAATTCCTGCTTAGCATTAAACAAATTAAAAAATATTTAACATTTTAGTTAGCTCAAATGTTTGTAGTTTTTGTCACAATAGTACCAAACTAATGTTAAATTATAAGTGTACACATCTTGTGTTGTTGAAATGAAATGAAAATGAAATGATGATTCTTTATTGATCCCTGTGGGGAAATTCTCTTTTTCCCTGCCCCATCTTGCTCTCCGTGATAACAAAGAGGTGAGAGCGAGTTTGGCAGCGATGGGCAGCCGCCTGCAGTTAAGGGCCTCGCCTCAGGGCCCACAGACGTGACTATTCTGCCGAGGGCGGGGCTCAGACCAGCTACCTCCCAATCATAGGCACAGAGAGCCACATACGGCCCACTGAGCCACACACTGCCCCCATTGTTTTTTTTTTTGGAGGGTCAGAATAATGAGAATAGTAAGTGTGTAGTAGCAATATAGTAATAACATCATGTTGGCGCATCACTGAAGCGTCACAGCAATGCAGGCAGATGTGGACGGGCAGATGTGGACGGGCAGATGTGGACGGGCAGATGTGGACGGGCAGATGTGGACGGGCAGATGTGGACAGGCAGATGTGGACGGGCAGATGTGGACGGGCAGATGTGGACGGGCAGATGTGGACGGGCAGATGTGGACAGGCAGATGTGGACAGGCAGATGTGGACGGGCAGATACTCACCAGTGTAGACGACCCCATTGAGCTCCACAGACATGCTGATGCTGCTCATGCCATTAGTGCTAAGATTCAGGGCAGAGTCCTGCCTCCCGTCTGCAGAGGGATGCGAGAGACACGTCAGCACCAGGGTCACAGCGGGACGGTGACGGGGGGGTTAAGGCACGTGTCGCTGTGCCCCCGCCATGCCGCCGTGAACTCAGCTCTGTTTACAGAAGCTACTTTTGTACTCCTTGTTGAGCAAACACTTACACACCCATTAGCCAAATGTCTGGTCATGACAGGATGTGGCAGAAACTAACTAATTCATATTATTCACGGAGAATCAGAGTAGAGAAGACAGTGTCAGACCCGTCTCAGGCTGCATTGTGCCCAGACAAGGAGCACCTTGCTGTGGTTTGCTGTGGTCTGGAAGTTTACCTGCTTTCCGGAGATCTCCTATCAGCACTGCCCATTTCTGGAGATCTCCTATCAGCACTGCCCATTTCNGGAGATCTCCTATCAGCACTGCCCATTTCTGGAGATCTCCTATCAGCACTGCCCATTTGTGGAGACGCACTCATAATTATTCTGTTCTCTGAAGTGCTTTGTGCAATGAAGGCTTTTGAAATGCGTCATTTGAAAATCCCCCACGTCTCTTTATGCAACAGTGCTTGAAATATTTGTAACCGAGTAAATCATTAAATTACAAGTGACCTAGGGACACCCCCCCCCCACCCCTAAACTTCCCCAAAACAAAAAACGGTCGTCTGCATTTCCACGCACCGATAACCTTCACAAAGCTGAACTGCGTCTTACATTAGGTGGTGTTTCCACACAGAAGTTAGAAAAACATGACGATCCTTACGCAAGCAGAACGGATACTGATCAGGAGTCTTCAGATTACAGTGCCCGTCTTGTTTAAATGAACCGATTCTCCCACTGCATAAAGACGTCCCCACACTGACCCTTAAAGATCCTCCTTGTACTATTCCAACCGTGACAAATGCTGATGAGATAAGGTGTGATGCATCAGCTACAGCAAAAGTAAGCAGAGAGCTCATCGTCAGACGGGCCCCACTATTCCTGAACGATCATATTTCCAGTGAGCATTTTAAATAGCACTGAATACGGTGTGATACCTGCTCCAGCCAGCAGGGTGACGGGGGGGGGGGGGTCAGTATGCTGGGGAATGCACCGGAAAACGGTGAGACTCTACGGATCAGCTGGTCTTATGTAACAATTAGCGATTAGTGATAAGGCACAAAGTTAATGAGTGTAGCCATAAACTAAGCAGGCAGCTCCCTGGGAAATCAACACCCTCTCGCGTTCACATTTAGATAATGGATACAGACAGTCAGACACAGTCAGACACAGTCAGACACAGTCAGACACAGTCAGACACAGTCAGACACAGACTGACAGACTGACAGACTGAAAGACTGACAGACTGAAAGACTGACAGACTGAAAGACTGACAGACTGAAAGACAGACTGACAGACTGACTGACAGACTGACTGACTGACGATTATTGATTTGGGGTTTAGGGTTTTGCTTTGTTGTAGTTTTATGTCATATTTCCTGTTTCATCCTTCCCTTTATATGCTCATGGCTGAAAAGCAAAACAGTTTTACTAATACAGAGGGTGTTTACGGACTCATTCACAGATCTTCTGCATAGGATTTCTTTAATAATCTAGATATCTACCTTTCGCATGTGACACAGGTTTAGGGACGGTATTCGACCACTCAGTGCACTTTCTGGAGTTCCTGTGGAATCTTCCGGACCCGACAGAGTACATACCCTGGTTACTGATGCGTATGTTCATGGGCATCTGAGCCGTCATGGCGAGCAGGTTCTGCTGCAGCGCCCTCTGCAGGAGCCGCTGGTGCTCTTCGGCCGGCAGAGCCATCTTCTTCTCGGGTGGTTCACCGGCCTCCAGCTTGTCCCTGAGCTGCTCCAGCGCGGCCACCTGAGCCGCTGCGGCCGCCTGGGCCGCCATGGCCACCTGGGCCGCCGCCGCCGAGTGGCTCAGCAGAGAGCCACCCCCCCGGCCCCCGCCTGTGGGGGCCTGGCCGCCGTCGTCTTCTGCGGGGGCACAGGGCAAAGGCGTCAGCACATTCCCACCTGAAGCAGAATCCTCCTCAAACTTGTGGGCTTGCAAACAGCTTATTAGTGGCATTAAAAAAGGGCAACTTTCATTCATTTTTTAAATTTAAATTAGGGGTCGGCATTCCACAGACATGCCTCGTGCCCTTTGCATCCTGGGTAGCCTGTGTGGGCGGAGCTTATGGAACATCATTGGATGGTCGGCAGCCCCAAGATCGGAGCGTTGTATGTTCTGTACCCAGTTACAGATCGTATTAGATTAAAGTCAGTCACCAAACTCCCGAAGGGTTTAGCAGCACAGTCACAAAGCAAAGCTAAGCAAACCCCCCCCGTTACAGTCACCTTTCTTAATCTTCTGGATGGGGGTGAGCGCAGCACCGTTGGTGCCCACAGACATGCCCATGCTGGGGATGGCCAGTTTGGGTGAGGAGAGCATGGTGGGGGTGCCGTTGGGCGAGTAGGTGAAGAGCGACCCCCCGAAGCTCTGGCGCCGGCCCTCCCGCCGGTTACTGTCGATCGCTGCCTGCAGCTCGTCGGGGTTGCTGAGGCCACGCTTGTCACATTCGTAAGGGTACAGGTACTTCATGTATCTGTTCAGGAGGGGCGGGGCGGGGGTGGGGCCATCATTTATGCAGCATATTGCCTGACACTCAAAACCTCTCACACTTGGTACAAAGACGCGAGAAGCGGCAGACAGACTCACTGCGTCCTCAGCGTGAAGGCTGCGCTGGTGATGGAGGTGGGCAGGTTCAGGCCCTTGGTGATCTCCCTCCACAGCTTCTTATTGATGACCTCCACCAGCCCCCCCTTCTCCGTCACCAGCTGGTACAGCATGTACAGGTCCAGCACTTGCTTGGCCATGATGGGGATTCTGTTCACCGGCGTTCCTGCCCAGGCACAGGAAGGTGTCCATGCCATTAGCTCTCAAAGTACATCTCCTACACCTGCCCCTGGGGGGGGGGGCAGTGGGGGGGTCTGACTATAATTCTGACTCCTCAATGTAAATAACACATGCTGCTTTTTCACTCCAAACAGGGAAATTCTGAAGAACAGTTTGGTGGAAATCACACATCTAAAGGTTTCAGAAATTGCAGCTGGAAAACCAGGTGCTTCCTTCTCTGGTCTCTAGGGGGCAGTGGTCAATGTTTGAGACAACGTACAACTTCACATATGTACTGCAGTATGCAGACCCACCCCGTGCCTTTGAAATGTTCGTAAGGGCTGATAGCAGAACAACGTAGTTTTTTTTTACAAAAATGATTTATGGTCTCTGGCATATCAGTAATTTTCCAAACAATACAGTAATGAAATACAGTCACTGTTTGCACATTAACATGCAGAAATCAGCCAGTAGCCAGTAGTGCCACATAATCTCTCTAGTTGGTTTCTTTTGATTTTACAAAGACATGCAAATCAACCAGTGGCAGTTAACCAGTGGCAGTTAACCAGTGGCAGTTAACCAGTGGCATTCAGAGAAATATAATAAGTTTAAGTACATTGAAATAGAATATTTTTTCAGAAGAAAACAAAATCTGCAAAACAAGTTCACAGGTCAGTGACAGTGGTAAGATGAGCCTGGCTAGCAAAAGTTCCCATAATGCACCAGTAGAGGTAGCCATGACGACATCATGGTGTGTAAGGTGTGGCAAAGCCCTGTGAGTGCAAAGGCAGCCAGACAGCCGAATACAGGCCCTCCTCCCTACCTCTCTGCTGCATGAAGCTGAAGAGGTCGTCCAGGAACTCCTTCCTGTTTGGGTCCGAGTCCAACTCATAGAGCTGTGGGAGGGAAAAGGGAGTCAGAGTCCGTCGGGGGCCTCGAGACAGCAAGGCGAGCTCCTGCTCTGAAGGAAATTCAAACCGCAGCAAATACACTAAAACGCAGGACCAGTAGCATGCTGTGAAGCAGGCTGAATAAGCGACACGTCTGAGGCAGGATCCCTGCTCCGCGTGCCAAAGCCCAGCTCCCAGACACACAGCACCGAAAATCACTGAAATGTACGATATGTCCTGGTCTTTGATTAAAAGATTGCGCTGGTCGGCTGGTGACAGATCCTGCAAGCAGAACTGCATTCTGAGCAAAATAAAAAAAAAAACGCTAAGCTTTTTAAAATGCTAGTAGGCTTCACAAGATGACCATTCCTTTTGTGCTGTTCGAGACTCATTAGTGACCGGAAGCAGCCTTAACATTTTATTGGTGGGGGGCAGGGGTTGGGGGGATGAGGGACGGAGTGGGGTGGGGGCTGAGGCAGGCGGCAGGGGGTAATGCGGAGCCAGGGGCAGCTAACGTCTTAATTACAGGATGTATGCGTATCTGAAGATTGCCACATTGTAAATCTTTTAAATGACTCCCTGTGGCTTCTCTCAAACACGTCAGTCATGGAAGCTGCGCAGAGTTGGGCTTCCACTTCCTCTACCTCCTAACAACTCCCCCCCCCTCCATCTTACCATGATTGGCTTCCTTTTCCCCACCCATCTCCCAGTTTGCTGTCCCCACCCCCCAATGTGAAATGTGAAATGTGCCCCAGAACAGCAGCTACCTTTCTGGCCAAAAACGTGAAAACAGCCAACATGCAATTAACCAACCTTTAAACTTCACTGGATGTCAATCCCGTAATGTACAATGAGTTATCCCATGCATAACTATTTGTAAAGGATTACCGGCAAATGAAGCTGCTAGCGACCTTGACATGCGAGGTCCAAGAAGTCTCCAGAGGGTCTCCCTGAACTGGCCCCTACACTTTTACAACTGCATCTCCTTCTCAGGAAGCTCTCTGAGCTTCCACCCCCCCCCCACCCCCACCTTATTCTGAGTGGAACTGCAAAACACATCTGCTTATCTGCTTAAGTCGGGTGGGGTTTCCCACATCTCGTAAAATCAACAGAACACTGTGATAGGGTGTTTCTCTGCATTCATGGAACAACAAATAAGGGGTGTCATTACACTGTCATCCTCACTGTTTACACTTAAATGGTGTGACAGAAAATAAATTCCACACAGACACAAAACACACACCTCTATCTGACACACACACACACACACACACCCCTACCTGTATATGTGGCTTGCATTTCATGTCTGTGACACATCACTAGATTTGCACATAAACACCTGCATGACTTCATAACACAGTTGTATACTGTCCATTCTCTACCTCAAAGCACTGTGATCATTTTAACTTTTTAAAAATCACATTGTCTTTTGTTCAGTCCCTTTAATGAATGAATAGATAAATACATAAAATGTATGCATTTCAGGCTGCGAACTTTCCTCTTAATTCAATGTTGAGCAATTAAACTTGCAGCTGGTTTTAGAGAAGTTAAAAAAGTTCTAGGAACATATAAAAGTCTCATGTGGCAAATAATTAGCTTCGATCACTGAACCTGGTCAACTAGGTCAACAGTGGTGATGGGAGTGAGAGATTGTGTGTAACAGTAGTTCCCCTTTCACTGGGAGTGAGCATGGACCTACCATTTAACACCGGTCGATCTCCCCCAAGGCAGAAAGACAGACAGACAGACAGACAGCCCTCAGACAGACAGTCACACAAACAGCCATACAGGCAGAGAGACAGATATCCAGCCTTATGACAGACGGTCATAAAAACAGACAGAGAACCAGCTCTAAGACAGACCCCCACGGTCTGCTTGAGGGTCAACACATGTGTTAAGGTTAACAGCCAACCTCAAGGTACACAGAAATTAAAATAAACTCATAGGGACTTTCCACTTCATATCACTGGTTATACAGAACGAACATATTTACTAGAAAAATTATTATTTGTCAAACTTTATTGCAATCAGGCCATCTTTGAAAAGAAAAAAAAAACAGCTCTGTGCACAGTGGGTAAATTCTGTTAACGACTCCCTTCTCCATCTGAAAACGGCCACTTCCTTTTTGGTAGTAAAAGAAATCAAAATAATTTGTTTGCCATGCTAATTATGAAGTCACACCTGTAGAAAAAACTGAAAATAAATGAAAGATCAGGTGCTGTCTGAGTAACATCTGAAACTTCATATCAGTAACGATGCTCTAAACGGTTAAAAAACATAACGGTTAGAATTTCTCGGTTTCATAAACTTACATTTAAATTCCAGACAGACACATCATTACAGAATAATTCAAGTGTTTGCCACTAAATAAATCACTCCTGTTAACATATATCTCTGTTCATGCTTTATATGGAGTGCTTCACATTTTCACCTTTAAACTGGAGCTTCCTGCTACCCTCCCCACCATCCTGTGGCAAAGCAAGCAGATGTAATCTAAGTCCCATTTTAATTCCAGACAGGAGCTGAAATATTAAAATGCCTTCAGTCATGTGCAGAGGAGAGATATTCACCTGATGACATGTGGGATGCTTTTACTCCAACTGACCTTTACGGGGGGGGGGGGGGGGGGCATACCTGGCACTGGTGAAATAGCTGAGCTTATATATGGCAAGATGATCTACGTTGTCATGCTGGAGAATGCTGCGTCAATTATTCATTGAAATTAGTGCAGAATTCATCAGTATAGCTACTGTAGGGATGGCTATTCCACTCAATGTTGAAAAACAAGAGTCATTTCACTCAAATATAGATGTATAACTTTGTCTCTACCATCGATAAATAGATTAAATAACTACAGAGACGAGAATTCTGAAGAACATGGAAATACTTTTGTGTTACCAATGCAAATTCAAAACTTGCTTTTTGTTGCATTTTTTCATAAGTGGGCTCACACAAGCACACTATATTCAAAACAGCGGGTTTGCTGTGTGTGAGAGTGCGCAGATGGAGAGTGGCGCATTTCCCTGCATCTACCAGCTGTACGGGAGTGAGACGCTCATCACACGGGGTGTAATGTGTCTGCACCCAAACTCCAAGGGACCCCCTGAGTGGGTCTGGAGCATTTTTACGCGGAATTTAGCCTCAACTAATAGAAACTAGAAACAAACTTTTTAATTTAGTATTTCATACATAATGTATATATAGAATTTTTCATTATTAGACCATCCTTTAGAACACATTGCACCTTGTGCTAATTGCAAAACGTTCGCTCAGTTTACAAAGTCAGCCCACTGCACAGCCCATGGACTGTCCCATTAACCAAAGAGCACAATTTACCAATAACAGAACAGAATAACTAATGACAGGAACATGAAAACTATGGGCGTGTTTAATAGCCCTACTATGTTCGGAATGGACTTTGTAAGACCTGCTACTAGCCAGACCATGTGACATGGGGTAGGAGAAAGACACGGGGACTTTATTTGGGGACGGGAGCAGAGACAGTAAGAAACACGGCGGGAGGCAGCAGACAGACAGGAGTGCAAACCAAAGGCAGCTATTCTGGTTCACAGCCAGAAGTAATTCTAGGAAGAAAAGCTCGGTTTCTTACAGTAAATCGGCAATGAGGAAAATGTGGACTGAGCGATTATGTTCATCACCACACTTATATGTGGAAGCACATACCCACCCCTGTGATGCCCCCCCCCCCCCCACACACACCATAATGCATTTTTAAATAGAAATACATGCCTTTTTGACTACTGAGATGACAAAACAAAATGTTCCCAGAGCATCTTCCTGATTTATACAGAAAACAGCAGATCAAGAACCGCAACTTCCTCAAAATGTTTTATTCGCCAGTCTGCCATAAGAATGTAGTGACCTGCCGTCAAGGGAACTTGTCACGGCTGTGAGCCGAGTGTCACGGTACATAGCTGAGAGGCGGCCGGAAGCGGGGAATGGTCGCTGTTCATTTGTACTATAAATGTAACGTGAGAAAAATTGAAATTCAATGAAAACGTTTGGATTTAAGAGAAAGGGATAGGTTACGGGGGGGGATGGGGGGGTGGAGAGCCAAACTGCCCTTCAGAGACACAGACCCAACAGCTTCCCCCTCCAAAAGTAGAAGTCAATATAATTTACAAGGTGCCAAATTTGCTTGAAGGTTTTCGATGAGAGTCTGTGAGACTGTAAGTAACCTCCAGTTCATCACCCCGGAGACACAGTGGTACAGGGTGGCTGACAAACTTAATGAGATGCATCTCACATTTCAGCACCAAGCCAGCAGCAAGTCAATCGGACACTAAAGACTCATAAAAACTGATTAAACGCATACAAACACATAAATGAGTAAATACCTCAGTAAATATCATATATTAAAAATGTTCATCATCACTTTCATGTGAATAAATATCCATGCAAAATTATCTGTTGACTAAGTGTCACCCTGTAAATTTTAAGCAACTTAAGTGCTGCTTTCACAGTTCATTTAACATCAGTGTGACTGTAAAAGCAAGAAATGGGCACAAACATCCTCATGCAATTAAATTAGACCTAAATAAAATGATCGGACTCATCTAGAAAAACTGGATCTGCAAGTCAGAACATGTATTTCTGCAAATGACAGACAGCAAAAAGTCAGTTGATACATGTTTTCCCTTTGTGTGTTACCCCTCTACATGTCTAAGAGCAAAAAACTGATATTAAACGAAGGCCATTTTCCACGTAATGCACCATAACCAGGGTTAGTGACTCAAGCAGACAAGAGAACAGTGCCGACTAAGACATTATGAAATGTCTGTTTACATTCCTGCATAAGCCCCCCCCCGAGTATCGGGCGATTTCCAGAGTGCCCCTGGCTGCATCAGTCTGACACGAGCCCAGAACACCAAGCCTCCGCTGGACACCTTCCAAGCTCTCGCTCCAGCTCACACGGTCACATGATCACATGGTCACATGATCACATGGCCTTTCAGACAGCAGCCTCCTCACTTCGCTCTGCTGACTATCAACACTCCCATCTTTCTGGGTTCTATAATCTGTGAGAATTGCTCTGTGGCAGACGGTTCATTTGATAATCACAAATCCATTTGGACCAGGTTCTAACTAATTACCAGCACTGCAATGAAGAGGAGCAAAGAATATGACTTCATAATTAGCACCAGTTACATCTACCAAGCCACAACCCACATATCTATGACCATGATTTAATTAAAACCTAATAGGACATAATAATAATTAAAACTTAAAAGGGACCTAATAGGTATTTGGGATTCCCGACAAATTTATCTGCAACCAGCAATGGAGACTGGGAATGTGAAATGCAACGTGATTTGCCTAAATCTAAATCTCAAGACTGTGTGTGCAATAGACTGAAAAAAATAAAATGCTAGAAATGTTGAAAAAAAACTTTAAATATTTCAAGTAATCAATGAAACAAATATTTGAAATTGCCTCAATGTAAAGAATTTATTTAGTTTAACCTGTTACAAAAGGTTCAGGTATGAACATAAACAGGAAAGCTAGGTTTAAGTGAGCAAAGAAATCATTTTCAAATCTTTATAATAAGGCACAATGTCACCTATATTCCCGAGAATATTCTTATATATCCAACAGGCAACTTCACAAAGTTTCCTGGTGGAATTTAAGGGTTAAGCTGAGGAATCGCTCTCTCCCACAGCTGTTAATGTGCTCAGAAGTACCTTATTTACAGTGATGATTCTGAAACAGGAATCTGGCTATAATGAGAACCTCATTTTATTTATTCAGAAATATGCATCTCGTAATAAATATCAATGATAATAATAATAATAATAATAATATGTATCTCGTAATAGTCTATAATAACACAATACATATCTAGTTAGATATGTATTATATGGTGGCAGCTACATGGTTCAGCAAAATTCACAATAATGGATTAACTGAGAAAAAGGCTTTCATACATTCTTTTATTCTAACGGGCATTAGCTGACACAGGTCTTCTGCATAAATCACTCACATGGTATTTTTTCCAAAGAACTGATTTTGTTGAGGGGGAAAGTAGCTGGAAGTAGCTTAGCTGCTATAAGTTTACTGCAATATCACACAAGGTGCCCCCAGCTGGCCGAAATCAGCTACGGGCTGCAACTGTCAGGCAGACAGTGACAGGTGAAGCA